AAATTATAACAAATTACTTGAAATTAATTTTTAAAAAATTTGATAGAATAGTTGGCATTCATTTTTTTTTTTTTGCAAAAAACAATGTTGACCTATAAAATGGGTGTACTTTATACCTAAAGAGGGGGTGCCAATATCTCCACCCCCTGGAACCGATGAATGATGATTCTTGCAAAATCGAAACCGGGAAAAGGCAGGCTTTCCTCTCGATCTTCCAATCTCCTACTTTTTTATCCTTCGATTTACATTCATTGTCGATTGATCAATTGATCGAATAAAAACTATTGATTGCAAAACCCAACCACAAGGTGTTGTTTGATTGATCTGAGCTTGGGCTCCAAAGGTCAAAAGTGTCTGGACGTCCAGGTTCAAATCCAAAAGAAAATAAAAATCCCCTTGTGGCCACAGAGGTTTGAATGCGGTTATTGCGGGCTACCCACAAAGCAAGTGGTCTCCCTGGATTAGTCGGCTCACATAACAGGTTGGATGTTCAGGTTAATAAAAAAAACAAAACCCCAATATTTCACATTTCTTGGGTTCCAAGTACGCGATACAACGCGATTGTTTCTCTCAATATTATTTTCTTTTCTGGTGTTTTGAAAATTGAGCAAGTGAAGTTGTTTAATTCATTGATCTGAATCTGTTTTTGCGATTTTCTTTTGGTTTTTTAGTTTTGATTTGTGTGGAAAAGCTTGATGAAAAAGAGGTAAAGGAAGTAGTTGAAGAGAAGAATTATAAAGAGAGGAACAAGAGCAAGAACAAGAAATGTATTTTCTCTCAAATCTGAATACAGTCTTTAGGTTAGGCAGTGATGATTTTCAAAAGAGATTGTAGTATATATCCAAAGAAGAAGCTGCTCTTCAGTCTAGAATGAAGAGACAAAAGCAGATGTAGTTCAATATTGAACGATAATGATGAACGATGGACGATGGTTTTCATGCTAACAGAAAGAGCGTATATTTTGGTAGAAGCAGACACATTCCGATTTTGATTTTCCCGCCACTCTTACTATGGCTCACAAGAGAACTCCAAACGCAACCACAATCTGTTGTCACCATCCTACCAAATTAACTTCATGTTCATTCTATTATATATGAACATTATTTTGGGATTTTATGAGGGGAAATACCATATGTATTAAAATTGTGTTTTATTTCATGAGGTGAATAGCATGGTGAGTATGCGATTCATCTGGTAAATCTCTATGTGTTTAAGGATTTTTTCCGGAAATTATGAAAATTGTGTTTGATTTCATGTGATGAAATTATATATATATATATATATATATATATATATATATATGAAAATTGTGTTTTATTTCATGAGGTGAAATAACATGTTCAATATGTGTTTCATCTGGTAATATGTGGGTTTCATTTGGTGACTCTTTGTTACCAAAATGATGATTATGCTCTTTTTTAAGTAAAAACAGTTTTCAATTAAAACCATGGGATCAAACCAAATTAAGACTTAGATCGGTCTTCACAATTCTCAACCTCTTTGTGGTTCTCATTTGATTGAACTCATATATATATATATACATAGGGGCTTAATCAAATGAGAACTGATTAGTTTGTGGTAACTGTGAGATCCAATCTCAACCACAAATCAACGAATAAATTAGGAAATTAATAATTATGGTAGTTTAAATTAAAATTATAATTAGATGGCATTTTAGGTATTTTTAAAAAACTATTCTCTCCTCTCTCCTCTCTTCTCTCTTCTCTCCGACCTCCAATCTCTGGCCTCCGGTGGAAAAAAAATCCGGCAGGTACCAAGTAATCACAAAGATATACAATGTGATACTCATTGTGATATACTATGATACCCATTGTGATATACTGTGATACCATTTGGATATCACTGTATATCACAATGAGTATCACATTGTGTATCTTTGTGATTACTTGGTACCTGCCGGATTTTTGTTCATCGGAGGCCGGAGATTGGAGGTCGGAGAGATGAAAGATGAGAGAGAAGAGAGGAGAGAGGAGTTTTTTAAAAAACCTAAAATGCCCTCTAATTATAATTTTAACTCAAACTACCATAATTTTTAATTTTATAATTTATCCGTTGATTTGTGGTTGAGATTGGATTTCACAGTTACCACAAACTAATCAGTTCTCTTTTGAATGGGCCCCTATATATACATATATATATATATGTGTGTGTGTGTGTGTGTGTGTGTGTATAGGTGGAAGTTCAAATGAGAACACCTCAATTTTACGAGAACGTGAGAACACTCTTATCATATGTGATAATACGTGATGTGCGCATGATATGTTCACCGCATCTCTGATTTAGTATCACATGTGTATCATATGTGATGGAATAATAGTATCACATGTGATTGTCTATAATAAAATAATGTTCTCGCATTCTTGTAAAATGAAGGTGTTCTTGTTTGAACCCTTCCATATATATATATATANAGTATCACATGTGATTGTCTATAATAAAATAATGTTCTCGCATTCTTGTAAAATGAAGGTGTTCTTGTTTGAACCCTTCCATATATATATATATATATATATAGGAGCGATCAAATAAAAACCGTCTTCATTTGTGTAAATCGTGTAAACCAATCTCACCCATCCATTTTCTTGATCAATGGTTAAGATTAATCAAGGTTATTTAAGAAAATTAAAAATAAAAAAAATTGAAAATACATTTTATAATACCGATAAAGGCAAAAGGGTAAAACCAAATATTCATTTATTCAAGAAAACCATATCATGTATATCATATTAGTAATGAAACTAATTTATTTTTCATCTTCCAATTATTTCATAACGAACCGCCTACATTATGCACCCGTTTCATTTTCATTTCATCTACTGAATGGATCACCTACACCATCACTGAAACGGGTTTCACTATGAAAGCAGTTCACTACTCATTATTCAATTACGCCATGAAACTTGTTTCATGTAAATTAATTTTTTTTATTTCACTCATGATTTGATGCATTCTTTCCTTTACTCCTTACAATCTTCAAGATTCTGGAGCAGATTATAATCTTCAAGATCCCGAAGCAGATTCATCATGTACCCATTTCATCATGCAATTATTTCATGACRAACCAAATAAATTATGCACCCGTTTCATGTTCCATTTTTTCTACAAAACAGATCAACTACACCATCACTGAAACATGGTTCACCATGAAATGATTTCATATTACTCATAAATCAATTACAATATGACCCAGTTTCACCTTCATGAAACTTGTTTCATGTAAATTAATTTTTTTTATTTCACTCATGATTTGATGCATTATTTCCTTTAATCCTTACAATTTTTAAGATTCTGGAGCAGATTATAATCTTCAAGATCCCGAAGCAGATTCATCATGTACCCGTTTTATCATGTACCCGTTTCATCATGCAATTATTTCATGACGAACCAAATAAATTATGCACCCGTTTCATGTTCCATTTTTTCTTTTAAACGGATCAACTACACCATCACTGAAACGTGGTTCACCGTGAAACGATTTTATATTACTCATGAATCAATTACAACATGAACCAGTTTCATTTTCATGAAACCTGTTTCATGTAAATTATTTTTTAAATTTGAACCATAATTTATGATTTCGTTCCATAATGCAATTTAATCTTTAAGATCCGTTTGCAGATTCAATCTCATAACAATATATCAAATTCAAATTTTTAATATTATAATATAATTAAATATTTAAATGTTACCATTTATACAATTTTCTTTATTACGTTTCCTTAATTAAAATTTATTAATAACTTCCATATTTAATAGAAAATATTATAAATGACCGAAATACCCTTATTGATTAAATTTAATTAGAAAAAATAGAATTTTCCTGTTGGTTGAAATTGGTTTACACGGTTTCTTGGAAATGCACGGTTTTCATTTGAATATGCCCCTCTATATATATATATATATATATATATATATATATATATATATATATATAATATAGAGGAGTGATCATATGAAAATCGCCCTCATTTGTGTAAACCGTGCAAACCACCTTCATCTGTCGATTTCATTGTTTAATCTTATGAAATTTTTTCATGAAATTGTTTAATTTTGTGAAATTGTTTCATATAATACTTTTTTTGATGAAGTTGTTTCATATATGGTTGTGAAATTGTTTCATATAATACTTAATGAAACTGTTTCATGTATTTCTCTAACATTAATGAAACTGTTTCATGTATTTCTCTAAAATTAAAATAATGAAGATGATAATATCTATGATTAACACCCTTCACAATAAAAATGATTAATCAACCTCTCATAATTACAAAAAAATTAACAAAATGAAAAATTATGATTGGTTGAATGCGGTTTGTACGGTTTGTACAAATTGAGTGGTTTGCATTTGATCGCTCCCCATTAATTATATATATAGATATATATATATATATATATATATATATATATATATATATATATATATATATATATATATATATAGTAAATGGTAATGGATAACGCAAAACTGTATATCCATTAAAATTTCATGTAAACAAATAATGGATAAGTGGATTAAGTTTTATTTATCCAACGGGTCTAAACCATAATGAGTAAGAGATATACGGTTACCCATTGTGAGTCCTAATCACAAGCATTGCGTATGTTGCGAGCCATGGAATTATATTCAATCTCTTGTTTCTTGATTGTAACAAAATATGTAACCATCGACTATTTAAGCATGCATACGCTTCCTTAATTAAGAGTCCAAGGAGATGGCTTCTCAAAAACAAATCATATCTTGATATATGTTATATGTATGTTAGTAGTTACTACATACAGGATATACACAATAACGATGATAATAGTATTTTGAGAGCATTTATAATTTGCTTCATTCATGGTTGAGACTGAAACACATGAAGCCACAATATTCTGGAATAGAATTATAAACATTTGCTTTAGAATGGAACGGAATTGAAAAAATAAATGTCCATTACAATTACAGTTACAATTACAATTAAAATTACAATTACAATTACAATTACAATTCAAATGAATACATACATTCTTCAAAAACCAAAACATACAACTGAAGGAATTGAATAATACTACAAACAACAAAACCACAACACAACAAAACAAAACAGAGTTCGTAGTTTTCTTTCTCTACAACTAATTACTTCCCAACATCAATCACCATTCCCATTCCCATTCCCATTCCCATTTGATCCATCACTTTTGTTGTATGTATGTTTTGTATGTATCTGATGAATCAAAAGAATAAGCCCTTCTTTTTCATCTTCTTTTTCTCCGCAACCTGCAACAGAAACTCCCATTTGCATTTACATTTACATTTACATTTACATAGAGCTTCTTCAAAACTAAAACATACCCGCTTGATGAAAAATCTCATCGTCAGAACAATTACATCCCTTGAACTGCACGAGAAACAACAATACCCATAAATTACATAACAAATTAACACAATCCATCCATCCATCCATAAATATTTCTATCATCACCTGCCACTGCCACCACCACCTGATTCATGTTCCACTCGAAACCGTCGCTCAACACTTCCTGATGAACTAACAAAACTAAACTCTATGGGATTTCCACAAGGAACAAATACCTGATAAAAATATATATTAATTAAGACGTCCAAACCAAAAACATAGATAGATATGTCTAGTATTTTTGGAAAGCATACCCTTGTGGTTGGATCAAACTTGTCAGTCACTGAAGGGCCACTACCCTTTGTGTTAATTGCATCCTTCTTAATCACCAATGTAACTGGCTCCCATATGTCAAGATATCCAGCCTGTACACACATAACAGGTTACATTGTTTCTAGAAGAGCTTCAAGATTAGGCTGCTTTTTGGGAAAAATCAAACAAACATGAAATAAACTATAGCTACTGCTAACAAAACATTTAAAAAGTGCCTACCCATAAGGATACCCTATGTTCGGCATGACCGGCCTGAAGAGCTCTTCTGATATGGTCTTGCATATCTGGATCTGTAAGCACATGACATTTTAATCCAATATACAGTCGTAATATATGCGAGCTATCGGTTGCCATGGAATATAAACTTCAACACAAGATATAACTTATAATCCAAATTTAACATAAAATATTCTCCACTGAACCAAACTATACGGTAACCAGCAACTTCTTTCACAAGACATTTTTCTCAACTATTCCCTATTTAGAACTTCGATTCTCAAACTTGTTCATTGAAAAAAAAAAACGAATATACTTGTGTCGATTCACAAAAATCCCTTGCGGTTGATGATGCACTTCTAACCTAAGAAACAGTTGGTCAAGCTCTTTCTTGTAGCCAAGGTTTTGAAAAGCAGAATGGGGCCTTGAGGCATTTTCCATTGACAAGGCAAGGCTTAAGCCTCAAGCCAGAAATATATGTATTACAAAAGTTATATATACATACACATCACATACAATATATATACACCAAACTTCATTCCAACTGAGACATTATACACACATGATATATATATATATATATATATATATATTTTATAGGGTGCCTTTTGAGAACTCTCTAAACTCTAAACTGTGGGATCTTTGAGAAGCAATACACCATATGCTATTTCATATGATCTTTTTTCTATATTAGTATTTAATATATTGATTTAACAATATTTGTTTCACATGTATTCGGTTCACAATGTGAACCCTTTTGGCTTGTTTGTGAAACAAAAAATACACGTAAAAAGGTTTCACATTGTGAGCCAAATACATATGAAACAAATACATGTTAATCAAAATATTAAATACTATACTTAGACGGAAAAATATATCATGTGAAACAAAACCTTTAGGTAGAAGTTCTCATGGATCTCACAAATTTTAGAGTTCTCAAATGGTTAAGCCCATATATATATACACACACAGTGGAGTACTATACACAAAATATATAAATCATACTAAATTACCTAAAGAATCCATAAACACCTTTTTTGAGTGACGAAATATGGATATAGTAACAAAGAAAAATCACAGCTCACAAAAAGAAAAGATATTAATATATCAACAATGTGGTGTGGAAGTAGGACTGTGACAGTGACACAGGAAGATTTAAAGGGACTAAAAACAAAGATTCAGCTGATAAAGAAGGGTAGATCGAAACTTTTCAAGCCAAATAAGGAGCGGTAATGAAAGTAGGTATACCATTAAGAAATGTTATGTAAACTTCTTGAAGATCAGCAAGGGCGAATATGTTTGGGTTTACTAACTCAAGCACTGTGCTATGAGGCGGGAACTGGAGCAAGGGAATAAAATTGTGGTTGTTTCAGAGTATATAAGATTCTATACAAGAATCAGTGAACAAGGTGCATAAAGAAAGTGGCAGAAGTAACCATCAACACAAGGACAGTGAGTGGTAAGATGAGTTGGTTGTTAATGCAAAAGAGAATGCTATAGATGGGTTAAATGTTAAACAAATTGCAGCAAATAAGAGATTATAAAATCTACACCACATGGTTTCAAATAGCATGTTCTAAAACTGCCAAGAGAACACATCACAAGAAAGGTAAACTAACATTTGGATGCCAGAAGAAAGAAATAGAAAAGGCTTACCACAGACAATTTTTCTGTGCTCGTTGGCAAAAACCGTAACAAGTTCACCCTGAAAATGTAATTGAAACACAATCATTGTAATCACATCTATACTAGGTCAAAGATAAAATGTACAAAGAGCTAAGGTTATGTATTCCACTACATTAGTGTTTTTGCAAGTTCCTGCTGACTCCTTTAGAGACTTATTACAACTTCTTTTACTCAATTTCATATCTATTATTTCATGTTGTAATCTGTTTTTAGCTAGTTTTTAGTACTTGTTTGTCTTGGAGCTGTTGGTATAGATAGGTCTTAAGGATGTCTAAGTTGTTCATTTTTAAGCTGAATATCAAATGCAGCATACTTCTATCAAGGTTACAGCATGAGAATTGAAGCTGTAGGATGGTTTGGCAGAGTGTAGTAGGATGTAGGGGTATAAATGATGCGAGTCGAGCTCAAATATATCACTATACTCGACTCGAACTCGAAACCCAATTTCCAAGCTTGAACTTGACTCGAAAACTCGTGAGTAGTAAAAATCAAAGCTCGACTCGAACTCGATAACTATTTCTCAAGCTCGAACTCGACCTCGAATCAAGCTCGAGCTCGAATCAAGCTCGAAACAAGCTCGAACTACAACTCAAATCAAGCTTGAACTCAAACTCGAACTTGAATCAAGCTCGAACCAAGCTCACCCTTTGAAAATTTATGACATTTTAGGTTCTTTCTATTATAAATTTTAAAACTTAAAGGTGTTCTCTTAGTTTTTATAAAACTAAAGAGATCAACTTCAAACTTCATCATCAAAAAGATAAAGTCAGAAATTTCATTCACCTCCCTCTCTTTTTATAACATCTTTTCTCCCTTCCTTTACCATCTCTCTTCCAATGTGGAGGACAATCTCACTAACCTTTTTTATAGTTTTTCTTTGTCCTTTTTTAATTGTGATTTTAATAAAAAATAATTGATTAATATTTATAATTAAAAAATGCATAATTTTGTTTAAATATCTAAAAATATAAGGCATTTTTATTATTTATATTTTACAAATTTTATCATAAAAACTTATTATATTTTAAAACTAATTATATATAAACTAATCGAGTATCTCACGAGCTTTTCGAGTCAAGTATTGGGTAGCTTGACTCGACTCGTTAATATATCGAGTCGAGCTCGAGTTCGAGCTGAGCCTATTCGAGTCGAGTGTTGACCAAGCTTTGACTGAGTCGATCTCGAGTAGCTCGCAAGTTGTCTCGTATCGTTTACACCCCTAGTAGGATGTACATAATCAGATGGGACAAATTGGTGACATCTTCACCTTTTTGTGTAAAAACCTTGAGGGTGTGGAGCACATAGCCTATCAAGCATTTACCTAAAATTGACAACACAGAGAGAAAGGAAGAACAACTTATGCGGTAGTACCATCTTCCTGATGTTCAAAGAAGAATCATTAGTCTTTCAGTTATTTGCGTTTTCCATTTTGCACCTATATAAGGGGGTTGGTGGAAGAAGAAAAATCCTCTTGGAGGAAGGGGAATCACAATCAAGCATTTCATTTTCCAGAATTATAGCTTTATTTTCTGAATGTTTACTACCTCCATTTACTGCTTCACGTATTCAATTTCTCATGCATTAACTAGTGGCAGGTTTTGTATTTTAACTTTTTAGAAGTAATTTAAGTATGTTCTCAAGTATTATTTCTTCTTTCATTTGTTTCTTTTTAAAACCCTGTCGGTGTGGGTGTAAACAAGTTTGTAATGGAGCCGATTGGGATGATATCATCAGGCATGTGACCAACCGCAAGTCCGAATGGAGCATCATTCTCTGGTTAGCACTAGCTACAACGGTTTATTATATATGGCAAGAACCCAACGCTCCTTTGTACAAGAGTACGTCACGATTAGCTGAAACACTAACGAGATAGTGAACTGCAGACGGTGGCAAACCTTTGGAAGACTCCCTGTCAGTGCGGAGATGATGATAATACAAGACCAGTCCCGACTTAAGAAAAGACTAATGCAACACAGCGACTCTTAGAAGACACCTCCAATATTTTTTAGATGTTAGGGTAGTAGTTATTCCACTTGTATATGCATGATGTTGATGTTGATGTTGATGTCGATATCGTGTTGGTTATTAGCCATGTCATATGGAGGACGTTCCAACCACTTTTGTTTTGTTTAACTTTGATTAATGCACTCCAATTTGACCCCAGGGTCTGTCCTAGAAGATTGAGTGGATATGCTAGTGTTGTGAGTGGGAGTCCCGCCCTTAGGTTGTAATCTCTTTTCTTGCTTTTTTTAATAGAAGTTGCCGGAGGTTTCACCCTCCTTACAAAATTTGGAATGCAGCTTACTGTCATTTTGTAGCATTATTATGCCACAAAATTTTCTACTGTTGAGTGCATTTCAGGATAGTTTACAGCCACACCTTATTTCTATTTCTAAATCAGTTTCACTATCAAAACGAGCCCCCTCAAGTCGGTGTTTTCTTATGCTCATTTCTTTAACTTTGAAGTCCTTTCGAGCAAGAGGACATCATGTATAAGTTGATCGAAGGAATATTGCGGTGCTTTGGTCATGTTCGTAGGAGGCAGATGATGGCTCTGGTGAGGAGGGGTAGAAACTGCAATGGTCGAGAGGAGGCGAGGAGGGGTAGGCCTAGAAGGAAATGGGATGAGCAACTGAGGTTAGACTGGCGGCTTTAGGTATACCTGAGGTCATGACCTCTTGTAGGAGCTCTTGGAAACGCACGACTAGGATAACAGACTAATGGTAGGGATGTGTAGCTAGCTTAGTTGAGAGGAAGGAATCTAGAGAGGTAAAGGATGAAGGTAGGGTTAATGAGCCCGTAGAAAAGCCTCCTCAACCCTAGGTTACATTATGGGTGTGTAGGTCTGTGTACCCTTGATATGTTTTCTTGTACCTGCTCTATTTGTACGTTTCAATGTTGCTGCTTTCTTCCATAACCTGTTTTTGAAAAATTTAGAACTACCTTTCTTGTTTTCGGATTCTTTCTTTATCGTATGTTCTCTTAACTTTTTCTCACACTTTGCACAAGTTGGGAGTCATCATGGAAACGGCCGCTTTACTCTTTTGTGTAAAGGTCAAGTCTATGTACATCCCCCCAAAGACCCACCTCCGGATGGTATATGTTGTGCTCGTTTAGTTTGGTTTGGTTTTTACGAACCCTTGTCAAACTCCAAATTGTTAGAGATTGAAGATGTCCACGTTCAAATCCAAGGAGAAATAAAAATCCCCTTGTGGCCCTGGAGGTTCAAATGCGGTGACTCCGGGCTATCTGCAAAGCAGGCGCTGGGATTAGTCGGCTCGCATAGCAAGTTGGATATCCAGGTTAAACAAAAAAAAAAGATGTCCTTGGTATTTCATCTTTCTCTTGTTGGTATTTATCCATCTCCCCATGTTCATGTAACCTATACAAAAGGATGTTCTACTTAATAACATGCAATTTCTCTTCAATATAAAGCATTATGGTACTAGGTCTATAAAGCTTTTGATACAAACCATAGTCAGGTGCCTCATGTCACCACCATCGGTTGTCAACTTGTCATCATGTACGACCATGTGTTCCAACAACCTATTGCCACCATCCACCATTGTGATCCACAACGGCCCCAATTAATTGTCGAGAACCCCATGCTGCCACCATCCATCCATCATTGTGATCCACATGCCCCCCACCCGCTGTTGAGAACCCCCCCCCCCATGTTGCCAACCGTGTTGCAAGCAATCCCTAGATGCTCAAACCCCAACACAAACCATAGCCATCCTGCAAGCCCCATCCATCACAAACCTTAGATATCCCTAATTGTTGCAAGCCTCTGCCATTGCAACCATCCATGACCAATTTTGTGAATCTATGAAACCTAGTACCAAACTAACATTAGCCCTAGATTCAGCCTACAGGTTCTGGTTTCAATATTCCAGTAGAAGTATGAATATGGTGATTAAGTGCTCAAATTTGAGAAGTTGGCTATTTCCTAATGTACCACTTCTCATCCTCTGCTTTGCAACTCAATTTGTCATATGCAAGATTTTCTTCGACCTCTCATATAGCATTTGTTAAGGCATAACTTTTCTTGGTACTCGTCCCGGCGAGGTAGTTCTTTTTGACTTTTGCAACATTACTTCTCTAGCGTGTTTGCTTTCAGTTGCACAAATGCGGTTGTTCATTCAACCAACACAAATATTATGGTGATACAATTATGTTAGGTCGAGGCCCATATGTATTTACAGATAAGGGTCATATTTACTTATAAGCATTAATTGGTCGATACTAAAGGCATATAGTTACGAGATTCTACAAATAGGGATTAGGAGAAGTAGATTATCATGCTTGATTTTATTTAGTAAAGATTTTAGAATTAAATAAGGCATCGTTGGAGAGATGACCGACCTTCTTGAAGGTAAACCAGCCTTGTTTAATTTGTTACTAGTCACTTTTATTAAATAAAGTGTTCATTTCTTATCAAGTTGGAATGAATCGAAAAAAGTGAACGAAATAGAACAGAAAATTGGGGCTGAAATTGGAGATGAAAATTTGACAATATTTAGTTGCCACAATAGACAAGAGGTTTGCACCAATGGAAGGGCTGTTACAAAAGATCGTTGAAAACCATGTCCAAAACAACAAAGAAAGGGCAAGGGTCCATTAGGCACAAAGGGATAGGGAAAGCACAAGGGGGTAATAGAGAAGACAAAACCATTGGGCTCTAAAGAGAAGGACGCAAGGAATGTTGCCAGAAAGAGGGAAGCACGAGTCATCGTAGGTGACATTGCTCGGTGAAAGACATTCCTACGCAAGGGAGATGAGATGTCAAAATTTTCCGGAACAAGTCTTGGAACATTTTCAAAGTTGGACAGTTAATGAGAAAATACTTTGCCCTCAAATATCATAATACAGTGTGAGAGTATCGTAACAACATTTGAATTATTGGCAAGGTGGATTTAGGGATTGCCCTATGTGGCGAAAGACAAGAAATTTTGTGAAGAGAGTTAAGGTCGATATCATGTGTCGTTGAAGTGAACACCATGCATCTAGTTCTCCGGT